TGGGGAAACTAGCCTATTCACAAAATATAATTTTTTCCTTCAAAATGCTGAACCACCCCGGCCCTTACAATTTCGGCCCGAAAGTTGTGATAATTCAAATTTTTACAATATTTGCCACTACGCCCCTTTCAAAGGGATATGGGGGTCAGAATCGATTTAATTGCATGTAGGTACATTCATTGTGGGGAAACTAGCCTATTAAAAAAAATATATATTTTCCTCCAAAATCCTGAACCACCCCGGCCCTTACCATTTCGGCCTGAAATTGGTGTTTATTCAAATTATCACAATATTTGCCCCTACGCCCCTTTCAAAGGGATATGGGGGTCAGGATCCATCTAATGGGATTTATGTACATTCATTGTGGGAAAACTAGCCTATTCAAAAAATATAATATTTTCCTCCAAAATGCTGAACCACCCCGGCCCTTACCATTTCGGCCTGAAATTGGTGTTTATTCAAATTATTACAATATTTGCCCCTACGCCCCTTTCAAAGGGATATGGGGGTCAGGATTCATCTAATGGCATGAATGTACATTCATTGTGGGGTAACTAGCCTAATCAAGAAATATAATTTTTTCCTTCAAAATGCTGAACCACCCCGGCCCTTACAATTTCGGCCCGAAAGTTGTGATAATTCAAATTTTTACAATGTTTGCCACTACGCCCCTTTCAAAGGGATATGGGGGTCAAGATCCATCTAATGGCATGTATGTACATTCATTGTGGGGAAACTAGCCTATTCAAAAGATATAATATTTTCCTCCAAAATGCTGAACCACCCCGGCCCTTACCATTTCGGCCTGAAATTGGTGTTTATTCAAATTATCACAATATTTGCCCCTACGCCCCTTTCAAAGGGATATGGGGGTCAGGATCCATCTAATGGCATGTATGTACATTGATTGTGGGGAAACTAGCCTATTCACAAAATATAATTTTTTCCTTCAAAATGCTGAACCACCCCGGCCCTTACAATTTCGGCCCGAAAGTTGTGATAATTCAAATTTTTACAATATTTGCCACTACGCCCCTTTCAAAGGGATATGGGGGTCAGAATCGATTTAATTGCATGTAGGTACATTCATTGTGGGGAAACTAGCCTATTAAAAAAAATATATATTTTCCTCCAAAATCCTGAACCACCCCGGCCCTTACCATTTCGGCCTGAAATTGGTGTTTATTCAAATTATCACAATATTTGCCCCTACGCCCCTTTCAAAGGGATATGGGGGTCAGGATCCATCTAATGGCATTTATGTACATTCATTGTGGGAAAACTAGCCTATTCAAAAAATATAATATTTTCCTCCAAAATGCTGAACCACCCCGGCCCTTACCATTTCGGCCTGAAATTGGTGTTTATTCAAATTATTACAATATTTGCCCCTACGCCCCTTTCAAAGGGATATGGGGGTCAGGATTCATCTAATGGCATGAATGTACATTCATTGTGGGGTAACTAGCCTAATCAAGAAATATAATTTTTTCCTTCAAAATGCTGAACCACCCCGGCCCTTACAATTTCGGCCCGAAAGTTGTGATAATTCAAATTTTTACAATGTTTGCCACTACGCCCCTTTCAAAGGGATATGGGGGTCAGAATCGATTTAATTACATGTAGGTACAATCATTGTGGGGAAACTAGCCTATTAAAAAAAATATATATTTTCCTCCAAAATCCTGAACCACCCCGGCCCTTACCATTTCGGCCTGAAATTGGTGTTTATTCAAATTATCACAATATTTGCCCCTACGCCCCTTTCAAAGGGATATGGGGGTCAGGATCATCTGATGGCATGTATGGATATTCATTGTGGGGAAACTAGCCTATTAAAAAAAATATATATTTTCCTCCAAAATGCTGAACCACCCCGGCCCTTACAATTTCGGCCTGAAATTGGTGTTTATTCAAATTATCACAATATTTGCCCCTACGCCCCTTTCAAAGGGATATGGGGGTCAAGATCCATCTAATGGCATGTATGTACATTCATTGTGGGGAAACTAGCCTATTCAAAAGATATAATATTTTCCTCCAAAATGCTGAACCACCCCGGCCCTTACCATTTCGGCCTGAAATTGGTGTTTATTCAAATTATCACAATATTTGCCCCTACGCCCCTTTCAAAGGGATATGGGGGTCAGGATCCATCTAATGGCATGTATGTACATTGATTGTGGGGAAACTAGCCTATTCACAAAATATAATTTTTTCCTTCAAAATGCTGAACCACCCCGGCCCTTACAATTTCGGCCCGAAAGTTGTGATAATTCAAATTTTTACAATATTTGCCACTACGCCCCTTTCAAAGGGATATGGGGGTCAGAATCGATATAATTGCATGTAGGTACATTCATTGTGGGGAAACTAGCCTATTAAAAAAAATATATATTTTCCTCCAAAATCCTGAACCACCCCGGCCCTTACCATTTCGGCCTGAAATTGGTGTTTATTCAAATTATCACAATATTTGCCCCTACGCCCCTTTCAAAGGGATATGGGGGTCAGGATCCATCTAATGGCATTTATGTACATTCATTGTGGGAAAACTAGCCTATTCAAAAAATATAATATTTTCCTCCAAAATGCTGAACCACCCCGGCCCTTACCATTTCGGCCTGAAATTGGTGTTTATTCAAATTATTACAATATTTGCCCCTACGCCCCTTTCAAAGGGATATGGGGGTCAGGATTCATCTAATGGCATGAATGTACATTCATTGTGGGGTAACTAGCCTAATCAAGAAATATAATTTTTTCCTTCAAAATGCTGAACCACCCCGGCCCTTACAATTTCGGCCCGAAAGTTGTGATAATTCAAATTTTTACAATGTTTGCCACTACGCCCCTTTCAAAGGGATATGGGGGTCAGAATCGATTTAATTACATGTAGGTACAATCATTGTGGGGAAACTAGCCTATTAAAAAAAAAATATATTTTCCTCCAAAATCCTGAACCACCCCGGCCCTTACCATTTCGGCCTGAAATTGGTGTTTATTCAAATTATCACAATATTTGCCCCTACGCCCCTTTCAAAGGGATATGGGGGTCAGGATCATCTGATGGCATGTATGGACATTCATTGTGGGGAAACTAACCTATTAAAAAAAAAAAATATTTTCCACCAAAATGCTGAACCACCCCGGACCTTCTAATTTCAGCCCTAAAGTTGTGATAATTCAAATTTTTACAATATTTGCCCCTACGCCCCTTTCAAAGGGATATGGGGGTCAGGATCCATCTAATGGCATTTATGTACATTCATTGTGGGGAAACTAGCCTATTCAAAAAATATAATATTTTCCTCCAAAATGCTGAACCACCCCGGCCCTTACCATTTCGGCCTGAAATTGGTGTTTATTCAAATTATCACCATTATTGCCCCTACGCCCCTTTCAAAGGGATATGGGGGTCAGGATTTATCTAATGGCATGAATGTACATTCATTGTGGGGTAACTAGCCTAATCAAGAAACATAATTTTTTCCTTCAAAATGCTGAACCCCCCCGGCCCTTACAATTTCGGCCCGAAAGTTGTGATAATTCAAATTTTTACAATGTTTGCCACTACGCCCCTTTCAAAGGGATATGGGGGTCAGAATCGATTTAATTGCATGTAGGTACAATCATTGTGGGGAAACTAGCCTATTAAAAAAAATATATATTTTCCTCCAAAATCCTGAACCACCCCGGCCCTTACCATTTCGGCCTGAAATTGGTGTTTATTCGAATTATCACAATATTTGCCCCTACGCCCCTTTCAAAGGGATATGGGGGTCAGGATTCATCTAATGGCATGTATGTACATTCATTGTGGGGTAACTAGCCTAATCAAAAAATATAATTTTTTCCTTCAAAATGCTGAACCACCCCGGCCCTTACAATTTCGGCGCGAAAGTTGTGATAATTCAAATTTTTACAATATTTGCCCCTACGCCCCTTTCAAAGGGATATGGGGGTCAGGATCCATCTAATGGCATTTATGTACATTCATTGTGGGGAAACTAGCCTATTCAAAAAATATAATATTTTCCTCCAAAATGCTGAACCACCCCGGCCCTTACCATTTCGGCCTGAAATTGGTGTTTATTCAAATTATCACAATATTTTGACTGCGCGCAGTCGAAAATGATGCCTCCGCCATAGAGCAATTTAAACAAGTTTGGAGTTTAAATCTCCAGTGGTTCTTGAGATATCATGATAACAATCTCAATGTATGGAATTTCATATGTTTACCTCTGTGACCCTTGACCTTTGACCTACATGCTCCAAAATCTAATCAGATCGTCTTCCTATGGTGATACATACTATCCTTAAGTTTGAAGTTTTTACATATCCAGTGGTTCTTGAGATATCATGATAACAATCTCAATGTATGGAATTTCATAAGTTGACCTCTATGACCCTTGACCTTTGACCTACGTGCTCCAAAATGTAATCAGATTGTTTTCCTATAGTGATACACACTATCACTAAGTTTGAAGTTTAAATCTCCAGTGGTTCTTGAGATATCATGATAACAATCTCAATGTATGGAATTTCATAAGTTGACCTCTGTGACCCTTGACCTTTGACATACGTGCTCCAAAATCTAATCAGATCGTCTTCCTATGGTGATACATACTATCCTTAAGTTTGAAGTTTAAATCTCAAATGGTTCTTGAGATATCGCGCTAACAAACTCAATACAAGGAATTTCATAAGTTGACCTCTGTGACCTGTGACCTTTGACCTACGTACTCCAAAATCTAATCAGATCGTATTCCTATGGTGATAAATACTATTCCCGAGTCTTAAGTTTAAATCTTAAATGGTTCTTGAGATATTGTGATAACGGTCAAACGGGACGGACGTACGGACGGACAACCCGAAAACATGATGCCTCCGGCACCACCTTCGGTGGCGGAGGCATAAAAATCGGGAAACCGATTTAAATCAGGTTTTTATCAGGCGTGGCTCTTTCAAAGAGCTCTGGAAATGATTACCCTAGCTTTAACTCTGGCAACCACTATCAGCGCACAGCACATTTCAAGGAATAATCTTACGAGGTACCCCTTTACTTCACCTGGGTGAAGTGTGGCAAATGTAGATAAACGTCTTGCCAAAGGACATTAATGTTTTGGAGGGATTCCAATCCTGTACCTTGTGGTTCGCAGTCCAGAGACTTATCCACTGGACCACAACACCTCCACAAGGATGAAAGCTCTAGATTTCTTACCTGTAGATCCCCCGAAGAAGTTAGACTGTGTCGCAGCTCCACTCGACGGCTGTGTCTGGCCAAACTGGAAGCCATTGTTTGAGGCTGGGGCTGGTGCTGAGGCACCTGTAAAAGGTACGAGATGTGGATTTGAATATTTAAGAAGTGGCATTATGCTATTAAAGACCAGTAATGGTCATGCGATTGCATTGTGAAAGAAACGTTGTGGAATCAGAAAAGGTTGATCATCTGCAGGTGTAATATATAAGTATTGGTGTGTACTGCAAGGTTCTGGAATCATCAACACAATAAGAAATTTGGCCCAGTCTTGGTAAAGTTACAAGCACTGTACACAGAAAGATGTATATGGGACTACGCGACACGTGCGTTATATCTATCAGGTCCAAATAGATACAATAATGTACCAAATATATCAATTAGTAGGCAGTTTCTCAGCAAAATTGGTATGATCACGTATTAGTCAACATATTCTTTCACATGATTGGTAATTAGAGCTTCCATTTCATTTTTTGAGAGGGGGGCGTTTCCAATACTGGTCTTTAGCTTTAAAGACGCATAGGAGTGGGCACCCACTAATCACCAGGATTAGCCTTCAGTTTTATGACCAACAGGCCTCGATCATGTAATGTAATTCCTTGCAATTCCTCTTTTGCTTAAGTCATATCATCTCACTTTTCCCTCACCCAAGACACTCCTAGACAGGCGCGTACGCAGGGGGGGGGGGGGGGGGGGTGTTTGGGGGGTTAAACCCTCCCTTTGGTATTTTTATGTGTGTAAACCCCCCTAAAAAAAACCTAAAACCCCCCCTTTGGATTTTTTTTTTTTTTAATTTTTTTTTAATTATAAAAAAAAAAAAAAAAAAAAAAAAAAAAAAAAATTACCTCCATGGCTGACCTAAGAAAGGTGACCTTACCCCCCCCCCCCAACGGAGCAAAATGTCAAATTTTCAAATTTCGAGACCAAAAAAAAAAAAGAAAAAAAAGTGTCCTCTTACTTGGTGGAAATACCATTGATTAGAGTACAAATCTGCACACAGCAATCCCGTTGGCCAGTCAAGAATTCCCCCTTTATCTCTCGGAGAATACTCGGTGAGGGCATAGCAAGCATTACATAAGGTTTAATGGTCATAAAACTCAAGGCTATCCCTGGTGATTGACAACACCTGTTATTGGGTAAACACCCTAACGGTGTCAAATTCCCCATGAGAGCTGACTACTGACTGTCTTTAAAGGGCCACTCTAACCAAAACCCCAAAAAGAAAAATAGACATGTAGAATAATTTTTGACGGAGATTCCGAACATGACAATGATTTTTCTTAGAAATCATCAATAATTATGGAATCTAGCTTTAAAAATGACGACTCAAAATGCTCAGGAAAAAAAAAAAAAAAAAAAAAAAATTAAAAATCCAGTTTCGGAGCTGTATTGCGCAATTATCGCATACGATGTCACTGCAGGAGACTTCTCGGTGAAAAGGAGCGTGATTTAGGCATTAAAATGTCTTTAAAAAAAGCAAACTATGATATCAATTGGGAAAAAAGACATTTTTACAAAAAATAATATGCACTTGATAATCCCAGTACGTTTCTGGCAAATTTGTATGAATTACAATGAGATTGTAAGATCCTTTGTTGTTGGAAAAATCGGACATTCCCGCAATGAGGTCAAATGTGTCATCAAGCCATGTGACCGTAATACCTTTTTACGAGGGGCGTAGCCAAGCAAGCGTGAGATCTGTGAAATACGGGTGGTTATTATCATTTTTTGGACAATTTAGAGATTTTCTGAAAAATCAGAGGCTGGAATATTAATAAGTAGAGGTGTATTCATGTTTTGAAAGGCTATGTTAGTTCAGTTAGAGTGGCCCTTTAAGTCCATAGTTTCCTTAAATTTTGCTCTAAAAAAGAAAATCATGTCCAAGAGAATTTATTGAAATATCTTCTAATCATGTGAGCCATGTTGTAAAGTCAAAGTCTGTACACAAACTAGACACATTATTAATAAAGGCAGGCTGTAACTCAGCAATATTTTTCTGAACAAATATAATTTTTCATGAAAGCCATACTAAAAGGGTAGAAAACAAAATAAACCAACAAAAAGGAAACACTTAATTTGTTTTCATCAAAATTATCAGTTAGAAGTACTTCATGCTCAACTCACCAAAACCAACAGGTTTCTGAGGTGTTGCTTGCCCTCCAAAGTTGAACCCTCCTGTAGCAGCAGGCTGTGTAGGGGCTTTAGGTTGAGAACTTCCAAACTGGAATGGTGATGCTGCAGCTGGTGGTGGTAGTTGACTCTGACTGCTTCCAAAGGGAGTAAGCGTTGCAGTGGGATTTCCAAAGGCTGGTTTCGGTGCAGACGTGGCACCAGGAGTGCTTCCAGCTCCAAACATACTTGTGTTGTTAGTGGCACCGAAGGCTGGCTTTTGTGGGGTGGCTTTGGCACCACCAAACATGGTGCTGGTGTTTGTGGGAGCACCACCAAGGGGTGTCTGGTTTTGTGCAGGTGTTGAACCAAATAGATTTGATCCGACAGCACTGGCTGGTTTGCTCGCACCAAAGGGTGTGGCCGGTGCAGAACTAAACAAGCTACTTGTAGATGATGTCGGTGTAGGAGTGCTGCCACCAAAGTTAAAAGCGGGAGGAGCTGCTGCAGTGGTCGCAGAAGATACTGACTGTCCAAATGTGAACCCTCCTGCTGCTGGCTGGCTGGTATTGGATCCAAAGGAAGGACCTCCTTGCCCTGGTCCATTTGCTCCTGCAGGTTTAGTAGCAGCTTGCTGGCCAAAGATGGGTGGGAATTGTGGTCCTCCACCTTGTTTAGCACTAGGTGCAGTGGTGTTAGGAGCAGGCGTAGAAGACATTTGTTTATTTACTGTTGAAGCTGGGGCAGATGTCTGTGCAGTAGCTTGAAATGGAGTTGCTAACCCACCTGGAACAGAAGACGTTTTGGTATTCCCAAATGAGAGTCCTCCAGCGGGGATTGAGGTAGAGCCTCCCAAAGTTTGTCCAAACTGGAATCCACCTGCTTGTGCCTGAGAGCTTGGTTTTCCTGGGGTTGTTCCAGCACTGCTCTGAACTCCGGAGGCTGCACCTGGACCACCAAAGGCGGGTGCAAATTGTGTTTTTATTGATGAGGTCGTGGTCAGAGTGGATGTAGCAGGAGCTGCTGTTGTTGAAAATCCTCCAAAAATGGGAGCAGCAGCACCACTAGCTGTAAACCCCCCACTGATAGGGGCAGAGAGGGTTCCAGGATGAGTTGTCTTCACAAGACCCCCAGCTCCAGCTCTCGATGTGGTGACCGCATTGTTATTAGTACTAAGTGACTGCACTTTAGCATCCACTTGAGTGCCTCCTAAAGCACTACTAAGACTCGTACCCAAGGGATTGGCACCTAACGTAAACGATGGCAGAGTCGCTTGAATCTTTAACAGACCATTCCCGATAGAAGGTGCACTTGGCAACTTGAAACCTAGAGCGGTCTCTCCAGACTTCTGTGGAGTAGTTCCTACCGATGCTGCTGCTGAAGCACTGGATGACAAGTTCAGTTGTGCTGCAGCAGGATTTCCAAACTTGACAGTCTTCTCTGAGCTTGTAGCTGTAAGCTTCTGCTTGTCACTACTTGACAAAAGAGGGTTGTCACTTGTCTTCTGTACGGATGTCGAGGGAATACCAAGAGCAGGGGTTCCTCCAGAAGACGTAGTGGCCGTTGAAGACAGAACCGAAGGTGCTACACTTGTAGTGGAAGCCGTAGACTTGGGAAGGGATCCTATAGAGAATGTCGTCAGAGGGTTAGAGGCTGTTGTCGTTGTTACTGCTGCTCCTGTAAACAAGGCATTTGTCTTTGGAGCTGAGACAGTAGAATCACCATCTGAGAAACAGAAGGAAACCAAAATAAGATTTGTAAAAACTTAACTTTGAAAAAATGCGGAATCTGGGCTTCATAGAGCAATAATTCACAATCTAATCATTGAATTTACTCTTTATATTATAAAAACTGTCACAGGGTATACCAGCAATATTGCAGTCATTCTCTTGAAGAAGAAGGACAAAAAAAGGAGACATGGCTCCCCATAACTTTTTGTCCTGTATGCTTAAATTTGAAGAAATGCAAAGCTCTTATTAAACAGTACTAATAAAGGCATTTCAATTCGACAAACAAATAAGAAATGTACAAAGTGTTTGTGATATTATTCTTTGACTTTCAGAGCATGAACGACAATACCAACAATTCTTGCCAGGAGTAAAAATGTAGGTAACATTCACAAAACTTGGTATACGATGCAGATTATTCACAGTTCGTATTTGTTTTTAGAAATTGGGCAAAAGTAATTGAGGCTTCAGAGGATAGAGCAATTAATATCTAATCGTCCTGGTTAACATGACAGGGAGAACAGTATGAATACCGATGAGGCTACCCTGGGTAAACAAGACATATTATTATTATTATTATTATTATTACTTTTCAAGTAATTTCCCCAAACTATCATCCTCCCTAAGAACCCGAAATGATTAAATATAGATTTTGCAACAATGACCCATTTTATGAAATTGATGACACCTGAAAGATTAGCACCTTTGTGTTTCCGTATCAAAATTACAAAAATAAAACAAATAACTGAAACCTGACCGTTACAATGATTTTGGCTAGTCTTTCTTTCTGAGGTGTAACCTTTTGAAATATTAATTTTGCAACAATGACCCATTTCATGAAATTGATGACACCTGAAAGATTAGCACCTTTGTGTTTCCGTATCGAAATTACAAAAATAAAACAGATAACTGAAACCTGACAATTACAATGATTTTGGCTAATCTTTCTTCCTGAGGTGTAACCTTTTGGGCAAGTAATATTAAAGAGGAAATTGAGTTCTGGTCATGCGATTGCATTGTGAAAGAAACGATGTGGAATAGACCAGAAAAGGTTGATCATCTAGCATATAAGAATTTGTGTGTATTGCAAGGTTCTGGAATCATCAAAATGATAAGAAATTTTGGCCAAGTCTTGGTAAAGTTACAAACACTGTACACAGAAAGATGTATGGGACTACACGAACAGGTGGCGTAAAAATCCTACCCCGGAGTTTTACGATGTTACATGATATATTTCGAATATGAAGGCATTTGAAGAGCCATGCTTTTCAGGGAACATGTCTTATCTGATGTTCTTTCACACTTGCATAATAAGAATGATAACGCTCACAAATTATTTTTCACCTCTTCCCAGAACTCAACTTTCTCTTTAAGAAACTACTTCTCTGTCGAAGTCTGGCATTTACCTTTTGAGGTGCCTTCCTCTGTCTCCTGCATGAGCATCTCTTTGAGGTAACTTCCTCTCTGCCTTGCCTGAGCTCTGTCTTCCTTGTTATCAGCAGCAGTGTAGTCACCTGGTGTGTCTACTCTCTGTCAAAGATAACAACACAAACACAATATCTGACAGGGTACTCTCATGCATGCTTATCCCAACTGTCTTGGCAACTCTGTCAAGTGCACACATGTTTTGCAAATTCTTGTCTGGGAAATTCTTTAAAAACAGCAAAGGACCACTTTGATGGCCCGATATATCCATATAATGCCAATCTGCAAAAATAATGCCGCAAGCATACTTTACAGCCAAGGTGAAATATGCAATTATTACAGAAAACATCATCAAAGTGTTTTTATTCTCCTCAAAATTTAACATTTTCAGAAACAAAGTTTTATAACCCCAATGAGAATGTAATGAATCAAATTTCAGATTTATCGATTGGTCGGAACATGTTTAAGAATCATCAGAGAAATTTAGGAGTAAACTATTTAGTTGATGGTAGCCAGTTAGAATTTGTCTATGACTCAAGACAACGTCCAGTTGTTGTATACATTCTATCACTATGACGACATGGCTAATACTTCGTAAACTAGACGAGGTACACGTTTCATTTGCCGATAGTCAGTTTATGTCTCCATGGTTACGGCAACGATATCATCCTCTGTCTATCAAATGGAGGAAACAATTCCAAGGTAAAAGTGACCACGAACTTGGAATTGACCAAACGACATTGGTCAATCGGATGCCAGCATGCCAGGAGATTTGGTCAAGGAGATACAAATGTGAACAACATCCAAGAACTTACCGGAGCAAATGAAGTCCTCTTGGGAGTGAACAGTTTCCCCTTCAGACTCGATTTCTGAGGCGTTGTTCCTGCTTCCTTACAGGGTGACCCTGCTGCTGGTAGTCCAGTGTTCTTCTCCAGGTAGAGGGCTCTACCGCCAGATCTAATCGATGAAAATCCTGGGGTTCTTGGTTGATTGGCGCTTGTCCTCTTGGAGGGGCTCTGGAGACCAGGAGATTGCTGGGATGCCTGAGGATGGGCCTTCTTCTTGATGGGTGATACACCCTCCTCCTCTTCTACCTCTATTGATGATGTATCCATTCTTCTCTTTAATGTACTCTATATCATAAAGAGTTGGAGGAATAGAATTGAGCAAGTAGCTTTGATACGGCAAGAATGTCTCTGACTACTATGTGCACATGAAAAGGGCTCCTTTTTTTTTAATGTGTGCCAACAATTGTTCCTCTCCTGAAAAACTATAACAAAACTGATGCTGTAAACTGTAGGGATATATCACCAGGGTGTTCATCCTGAATAAAAAGTGTACCACAAGACTTATAACTATCCCCTATTTGTAAGTACATATATTTTTTTGTTTTACTTCCAAGTACCGTCTTTGCCGGCGATAAGGCCGCAGCGACGCATAGGCCGCACCCCCAAATTTGACATTTCAAAGAGGGAAGAAACAAATTTTATTTTTAAAATAATCGTAATTTTCTTGTAGAACACTTTTTTTTCTTCTACAAACTGGTACCAAATTCATCAATATTCTTATAAATTACAGGAAGTTTACCTAAAAAATGATCGCAGGCAGATTTGGTAACCGATATATACCCCTACCATGATGTAAGGTGTAATGCGAAATTGCATGAAATGGATACAAAGATCAGAAAATAGACTTGGTGCATGGTGCGACTAAGGCTGGATGCGCAATTGCGTTCGCGGCAGCTCCGTAACGGTCCCTTCTTTTACTTTTTAGCGATGCATTGGCATTAGATCAAGATCAAGATCTATCGGCAGATGTTGTTTTTTGAAGTTTATTATCGTCTTCATGCCAACAATGCAAGATAAAATTGTCAGTAAGATGTGTGGAAATGTCCTGTACCATAGTGGTATAGTTATTGCAGTCCTGTACATGTATGTACAAATTTATGCTGTTTTTTCATGGTTTCGACTTGCAATGCAAGATAATATTATCGATAAGATGTGTGGAAATGTCCTGTACCATAGTGGTATAGTTATTGCAGTCCTATACATGTATGTACAAATTTATGCTGTTTTTTCATGGTTTCGACTTGCAATGCAAGATAATATTGTCGATAAGATGTGTGGAAATGTCCTGTACCATAGTGGTATAGTTATTGCAGTCCCATATGTACAAATTTATGCTGTTTTTTCATGGTTTTGACTTGTGATTTTTTACTCTTGCGTCGCAAAGGCCACACCCTGATTTTTGATATTTTCTCTTCCAAAAATACTGCGGCCTTTACGCCGGCAAATACAGTAATAAAACAATTAATACAAAAAAACTCTCTTCCCTTCAAATTAGGAGCGTAGGTGAACTTCAAATAGTAGATACTATTCTTTATTCTATGCTATTCATGTTGAGACACAGAGATGGTCAAAAACCACTACAAAGTAGCATTTTGAGGACTCAAAGTAACCTATATCTGTCTATAAGACGCACTCCCGACTTTTAATTTTTTCTGTTGAAAAAAAAGTGAGCCTTATACACAGAGATTTACGGTGTGGTAAAACCGGTCACTCAAAGATTTTTACTTTTTTGAGGCACTTCAAGACCATTTTTGAAATACAATTTTTTTAGGGCTTCAAAATTACACCATATCACAGGGCCATACATCTTATATTTAACATTGTTAAAAGTAATACAAAGTTTTGGGAAATTGTGAAAATTGGCTGAATAGTGATTCTTTACAATTTTGATATATAATGCCGCTTTGGATGGACAATAAGCAATTAAAAAGTTAGCCCCTAAAACACTTCTGTTTTCGAGAAAAATTGAATATAAAAATTTACCGGTGCTCCCGGTAAATTTGGATAAATTTCAAATAGCGCCTACGGCCATACAATGGTAGCTGTGACCCTTAAAATCTCAGAATATGTAGTTGTGATAAATAACTTCCAAACAGAAATAGCAAATTGGTCGATTTTAGTCAAGAAACATTGTTTTATAGTTAAATTAATATATTGACCTTGAGAGGGAGCTATACAATATGAAAGTTTATTATTTACACTTTCATCACTCGATTTCAACCATGAAAATGATCACTGAATATCGTAGGATCGCATATGCTTCCAATATGTTCATTTGAACCAAATTCATCACCCCATATCAAAACTTTGTATTACCTTTAAACGATGCCTTTAATAGGAGATAACATGACTTCCATTATCACCTTTAATACACCTTACCTGGGATTTCCTAGATGAACTGAAGGAGCTGACAATTGGGTTTCTAGGTGTGGGTGATGTGATTCCGTATCTTGAAGGCCAGAAGACTCTGTCCGTATGTTTACGCCTAGGCATAGGATCTAAATCCATATCGATATCACTTCTTGCAACGTCTTTTCCATAGGTGCTTTCCAATTTTCTACGAGTGCAGGAAAGTAAAAAAGACATGCAGATTAACTTTGTTGAGAAATTGTAATTTCACAACAATTGTACCCCAAGCTTTAAAATATCTACCGGTACATTTAAAAATAGAATAATCGCTCAATTTCACAGTTTGTTAAATCTTCCAACATCTATCTGCATGTAAATAGAGAGTAGGATTGTAAATGAAATTAAAGGATGCAAAGACTCTTGTGGCTACTGAAAAATTTGCCACAGGTTCAGAGCACTTACTTCTAAAGTGCAAATATCTACAGTGTAGTTGCTCTTATTTTTGCAATACATACCGGTATACAGATAGAAAATTATTTACTTCCTGATAGCCTACACTTTTTGATGTTCTATTTTGTGCCTGGCCCTCATTACAAATTTTACATGATTTTAGCGTTTTTTTTAATAATTCTTTTTTTATTTTATTTAGAATTCTGCCAATGAATCTTAATGGACAAGTAGAAAAGATCTTTATTCGTTTTTCATTACATTGAATATAAATTGTACTTAGTGTGCACATAAATACACATCAATGAATCAACATTGTCTTTGTAGACTGAACACACTGTGTAAATTACCTCCTCTTTGATTCACTTCTGACATCAGAGGGCGCTATTGGACTACCGGACTCAGTATTAGCGTCCTGCGCTGTCCTCTTCTGCCTCAGTTTGATAGCCATAATGACCTTATCTGCACTGCTAGCTTTCTGCTTATCATTCTCTGATGCTAGTTTTCTAAACCTGCCAGAGAAGAAAAAAATATATGATTCATTAATTTAAAAAAACTGACAATTCAAACATCTATGGATGAATTTAGATGAAAACCCACTGTCTTGACTCTTGATGTAGGCTTGAAAAAAAATCAGAACTTTTGGGTCTAATAATAATAATAATAGCTCGTTCTTATATAGCGCTTTTCAGGACCGGAGGCCCTCACAAAGCGCTTTACAGATAAGTATATTATTACCCTGGTCATTGGATTCAGGCTTACCCACACACAATGTATGCACATTCTCCACTCCCTGGGGAGCATTCCAGCCAGGCGTCATTTTTACATGCGCACACTTGCTAATCTAACCACATTAGCTTTCACATCCTACCGGGTACCCATTTAACACCTGGGTGGAGAGTGGCAAATGTAGATCAGTGTCTTGCCAAAGCACATTAGTGCAGTCTAGTTGAAAATTGATCTTTCCTAATCTCTCATTCTTCATTAAAAGTGAAGTTGTAATGTATTAAGATTTCATCGAGCTGTCTTCAGGCAAGCACTGTTGTCTAACTTGGTATAAATACCGTACCCCCCCCCCCCCCCCTCCTTGAAGAACATTTCTCATTGAAAATTGAAACATAAGATAGGGAACCTGAAATTAGTGAAGACTATTTCGCTTGTGAACAGAGCAGTCTTATTTATAATACAAGTTGGACTAGTCAGGCTTGTCCAGATCAATAATCTAACAAAAGGTATCTCTCAAAGTTTTATTTTGTCTCCAAAGATTCTTGGAAAAAATATCAAGAAAGAGTCCATTTCTGTTGCTATGGGGCAAAACTGGACCAATGCTTTGTTAAACATTGACCCAAAGTAAATGTCTTGCCCAAATATTCACCATTGTACATTTCATTTCAAGTTCAGTTATTTATGGGGCTAATGTACATGGGAAACCGTTTTGCCACATCAAGTGTGAACGTGTCATTGACTCATTATGTCTTACATGATCATCATCATTATCATCCCATGATACAAGGAGAGGTAGATCCTGTAATCCTCGGTCACTTCTTCAGGGTTGGTTATGTTCTGAAGTAAACTAATTTGCACATGAGCAAACGTACATACATGTACGTAATCTTCGCAATCATGTACATGTACCTCAATAAACCTAATGTACATGTACCTAAATAAACCTAATGTACTACTAGTACTTACAGAGGACTGGCCGGACGGTCTGGGAATAGACTGGCGATCTTGACCATGACTGGACTCTGTACCCTGGGTAGACCTCTCCTGTGTCTAGGACTGGACAGTCCTCCATCTTTCAGCCAGCTGACCGAAGGAAGCAGACCGGGGGAGGCCACCAGGTCAGGTTGGTGGGTTGGGTAGTGCATGCTAGGATGAAGCAAAGAATCCTGGCCCGAGTTGAAGCGTAGCATCGTCGAGCTCAAATCCAATTCGGGACTGGAGAAGAAAGAAAATATAGAGTCAACCAATGAGTAATCATCTACATGTGTCTCAGTGTACATGTAAAAAAGGTGATAATCTAGAGTTCAAAATTTCAAATTGATGGAATTGTAAGAATAAATAAAGTATACTTGATCTTGCAGTATTGTCATAACTTAAACAGGCAAGTTTTTCCCCCTGAATATTGCTGATGATGTTCGCATAGATACGTGCACCTCTGCAACATGTACTAGAGACACACATCATCATCAAATACATGTACATCCCAATCACAATTGCTCACATGACTATGAGACCTTCTTCTTCTTCTTCCAGTTAAGTACAGACCGCCATTGGCGTATTATCGTACTTGGATTATCGTACAGGAGTTGATAGATCATTACCACAATATACATTTCATACAAATAAATCAACTTGTGACTCATGACACAAGTTTTAAATCCATACCCGACAGTTATTATTAAATTCAATCTACCGGTAGACAACATTGCAGAATCTGATAAGCCAAAGGTACATCTAGACCTTTACTTAAAGAGTCTTTCTGATTGATTTAAACCAGAAATGTTAACAAGCAAAAAAAAACTTTAAAAAAATAAAAAACAAGCAAACAAAGTAAAAAACAAAACATAAATCTGAAGGGTAAAAGTAAGAAAATTACTTAAATGCCCACTGCACTACTGGTAGCTACTTGCGCCCTCTATATAACAAACAATGCCTAATCGGTGACCATTGGTCCCCCATGATCCTCTTTGTCTATATGTTAACTGAGAGCCGAGTTGATGAGATAACCACCTGTCCAGTGACCTTGCAGAGCGGTCTAATCCCTCCTGTAAACTACGGCAGATAAGCTTTAAAGAGAGAAAGGCCACGAGAGAGGACATGAACATGAAGTCATGATGAAAGTTAAACCAGTCCAGAGGCCAGTAGGCGGGCAGACTCGCAGAGATAAAGAATGATTTAAACATGGCTTTGGCATTCTACTAATTATTATTAAAGTATAATTACCTGTCTATTGATTTGTTAGGGGGGTAGATAGGTGACAATGGGAGTCTCGAGAATGAGAGTTTATTATCAAAATTGTATCCAGTAGAAAAATTGAATCCTTCAGACTTGTCAGTGGCTGGTCGTGGACTCCATGTTGAAAAATTTGCAGCAGTGGAATTTTTCAGAGGAACCCAACTTTGGCTTTGTTGTGGACTTTTTCCATGAAATTCACTCGACTCTACAACATTCCCAAACCTTCTTGGCTTCAGAGTTGATCTCACAAAATTATTGATGTTTTCTTTTCCTCTCTCTTTGATGCTGTCTGTAAGCTTTGGTTGATAAGTTGGCGAAGATGGTTTGGCTGTTGTCCGACGAGTTGTGGCCTCCTCTTCCGGTCTAGGCGGCCAGAACTTCGGGGCAGCCGCGGACAAAGACTGCACGTGGGCCAGAGCTCGCGAGACACCAGCCGGATTTTGTGACAAGTGAAAAGCAATGAATGAACCGATCGTTAAAATAAGGAATACAGTCAAAGTAAAAGGCAAAACAAATAGAGAAAGACATAAAATTACTAATAATGAAGCTGCTATTCCAATGATCACACGCATCTTTGCAATAAATGAACGTTTCTTCCTCGTCTTATATTTCGAAGTTCAAATTTCATCATTTTTCCGCTGCAGACGGAAGTGCACCAACGTTGAATAAAAGGTTCTGTACATATATCAAACATGAGAAAAAGGAAAGAAAATTAAAAGTGCTAACAATAATGGGTTCAAACATTTTTTTCAATTCAATTCAATTCAATTCAATTCATTTATTTTTCCTCTCTCAATTGTTCATATTTACAATGATGGTACATTTTAACATATTGTCATATTAATATACATATAGATCAATTTGAACAATACAATACAATAAATACATTAAAAAAAATAAACATCAAATTGAAAGGGAAGGAGGGCCGACTAAAATATAGCAGAGCTTGTAGGGTGTAGGCCCTCCTGTAAAAGTAAATGTTTGACATTTTCTGCATCAATCTTAATAATTCATTATGTTTTGAGAAGAAATTTATGTAGATCTCAGGGAAAGGGGCAAATAAACCCCTTATTATCTTTTTTTTTTTTCATCGAGGCCGGGCACACCATCAGTGAAAGTTCTGGCCGAGGTGCGAATATAGAATAATTATTTATTCATTATTTACATACTGTAGTACTGTTGTAGATATATGATATGCCAACGTGCACCATTGTCATCATCGTCATCATCATCATCATCATCATCATCATCATCATCATCATCATCATCATCATCATCATCTTCAGTTGCGTATACTGATATTTCAATGCCCGGGGCAAGCAATGAAATTGTGCCTCCCCCCCCCCCCCCTCCCCGAAATCTATTTACAAACTGTACAAGCGATCGAGAGTACTACTTCGTCATCGAAATGCATGCTGCACGATCGCGAATTCAAGAATTTTCAGACACTGCCCGCCTTTCCAAGATTCATTCTTATTTTTGATTTTGCGAGCGAACGATCGAAGCGATCTAGCAAAAAATTAAAAAATCTTTTATTTAAAACTTAACATTATCATCACAATTTACTAGCTTTAATAATTTCATCATGACCAATTGTCATGTGATTTTTTTTATTTTTTAGTGAGGGTAGCCTCATCAGTATATAGGCCTACTGTTCTTCCTGAGGGCCCTGCGATTACCATTACCCCTAGCCAGGTGCCCCTTTATACCTGGGTGGAGAATGTCAAATTTGTTGATCAATGTATTGCCGGAAGGACGTTAGTCTAGTTAGTGCCTGGCCATTTAGTGCATTACATGGGACACTGTATTATTAGGGGGGGGGTGGGGTGGATGCCGTGTGACGTTTACAGAATATAAAAATATACACTGTCGTGAGAGGTTCTGGTTCCAATAGTTCTACATTGATGTCCATCGTTATAGCCAGTACCTCGAAAAAGAAAGCAGGTATATTATTTTGATTTATATCTTCTTCTTATTTTGTGTTTATTTATTTTTATTAACAATTTTTTTTTTTTAATCTAGCAATTTTATAACAATTTAAAATTATCAAAAAGATTATTTACCCAAAATTAAATTCCCAAATAGTACTCCCAACGTCGAAGTTCAATTTACTTAACTCACTGCAACATGAGTATTGCGTTAATTTTTGCTAGCTGACAGTACTTTTTGCAAAATAGTGTGTTTGATTTTCTATTATGTGACACACTTTTAACCAATAAAAAACAATACACTTTTAATGCAGGATATAACAAATACCAGGTCAGTTACGTGATCTGAAGAAAAAAAACACACGAAACAAACCACGGAAGGATATCACCTGCTCTGTCCTTCAACGATAAAAAGCTTAGGCAGAATGTCGACGGGAAATAATAATGGTGGAAATTACGGATGGGTAAAAACTAAAAAGGGTTTATTACTCACAAACTAATGATTTTGTTTTACACGGCGCTGCGTCGTCATATCCATGCCTGGTCATATCAATCATCTATCGATCATAAAATAAGGTAAAACATTGCTTTCAAGTTAGGCCTATACTTTCTTCGGATTTAATTGTCAACTTTCTTCCCATCCAAGTTGGCTCAAAGCAATGATTTTACTCTAATACGCACAAACAATTAAAAAAATAAAAATAATCATACCCTTGTAAATCTGTAAACTTTTGGGGTGTGTTTTTTTGTAATTCAAGAATGAAAGTTGGACTGGTTGAATTAGGGCCTTTCTTGAATATTTAAGACGTAAACTTTAATCATGAAACAAAACAAATCAATTTTTACATACTTCAACAATTAAAAAGTAGATAAAGGCATATTATATAAAAATAATTTAGTTTGGTAACTGTACTAACCTTAATAAATAACAAGTGTCTGGAAACGTATTTCCGAATAGTATCCCAAATAATTTGCGAAACTACCACCACCCGAATCAGAATGATAGACGATGTTTTAAACATTACACTAGGCTATAAGGCTGATATTATTTGCACTATGGTGGTTAAGGCCATTAAAAAATATACATGTTTAGCGTCCCCGCCCGCTTCCTTTTTGGGGGCCGCCTCCTATTTTTTTTTCTTTTCTTGAAATGTTTTTTTTTTTTTTTTTTTTCAAGAAAAAAAACATGAAAAACACTGCTAAAATGGATTTATTCTGATTAATAAAAAAAATTAAAAAAAAAAATGTCGGCGGCCATCTTGAAAAATAGCCCGACTGTCAGGGAAAATGTACCGAGCGGCCATTTTGAAAAAAAAGAAAGAAAAAAAAAAAAAAGGGCCTCCTCCTTCCTATTTTTCGAAAAAAACAGGACGCTAAACATGTTTTTTTTTTATTTGGCTTAATGAAAGTTTTTCATAAGTCTAACTGATTACCAATTTGCCCTTTCATCTTTCAACGATCAGATAATGATATTTTATCAGTATATCGAACGTCACTGAGTACACCAAAGCCGGTAAATAGAGCGGTTTACTAGCATATTAAATTTTATGAATACTTTTTTCTTCGACAAAGTTTGTTTTGGACGACCTGAAAGCTTTACCGAGACTTTCCCGACAAAGCAACAATTAATATATGCACACTGGATTCCGAGTATTGAAAGTATATTCATTTTTAACTTGTCACTAGGTCCCTATAGGAAAGAAACGTCTATCAATTTGAATATGTTAATAAGCCGGTCTACAGTGTTTTTAACCTGTTTATTGTAGTTACTACACAGCCGAGATTTATAGAGTGAGGGAGGGTAAGCGAATGTGAGACATATTGAAAGATCGAAAGCTTTTTCCGTAGTGGTTCATGGACATATACGATGAATTACAAAATATTATTTGTAACCCCTCTTTATTATGACCTTTACGGGGAGGGGGGGGGGGTTGGGTAGCTTCGGCCTTCTCTCACCCCCCCCCCCCCAGCCCTTTAAAGAATTAAAGCCATGCCGTATCATTTGCGATATTTTAGCACAATGACAATCATTTTAACCCCAAATAGATTAAACTTAAGCCACCGAGTCAAAGCCGGGGCGCTGATTTTACTGGTAGATTTTTTTTTTTTTGAGGGGGGGGGGGGGGGGCATCCGAGATGGGTAATCTAAAAAGACCGACAACTTAAGAGACTGACAAAACAAAGATAAAATACATAGAAAATAGGATATAGAAAATAAAACAGTTAATTCAACATGTTCATAGGTACAACAGTCCACACGACCAACAGACCATGAGACCGTTAAAACAGAGAAAACAATTATATTCATCATGGAAGATAAACACTATCGGTCTCTAAAAACATCGGCCTATTAAAACATCTACGAATGTTGTCAGAATGAGTGTCGGTCTCATTGGCTGTAGCCCAGAAATATATACTAGGTTAATGAAATGAAAGATAATAATCAAGCAATTAAGGTAGAAGGGAATGTGGGGGGGGGGCTTGGGGTCGTAACTATGATCGTCTTTAAATTTCACGTTCGCTTTCCCCACCTCACGCTCACTTTCTCTCTTTCTCTTTCCCCTTTTTTCTATTCGGGGGAGAGGGGGCACTTTCTACCATGCCACCCCCTTGTGGGACTACGCCACTGTGGTTATCAATACGTGATTGACTTCAGAACATTCAACTGTCACGATGAGGTTAACCGGAAAGAGAGAGTGGGCGTATTTGTTAACCGTTTTCACGTCGAGGAAGGACGGTTTCTTCATAGGCGAAGGTAAAGGGATTTATGAAAAAGGGTTTGAATCCCCATTCAAAATAATGGATGTATACCAAAAGACAGAAATAAGGGAGTTAAATGCAACTATACATATAAACTGATGTGAAGATAATGGTCCCTCAGACAACATAACAGCTCGTGACTTTTAGGCAAGTATTTTGTGATCTCCCTCGAACAATATCCATAACATCATGCATATAAAAGGATTAAAGATCGCTAGCTTTAAACTCGTGTTGAGCAGCAAAATCAAGGCTTGCACTTTGGAAAATCCCAAAATAACCTCAAACTCAGTTCACTCCGACTAGGTACACCCGTCTTCTAGTGGCGGAAGGGGGGGGGGGGGGGAAGTCAAGTGTCAACAACCTGCCCGTACCCCTTTTGAAACCCAATAAGCATAAGGCTTAAATGTGGGGGGAGGGAGGGATGCCACGTCAAATATTTTCAGAATTGTGCCCCGACCCTCTATTTACAAAGTCCTACATCCGCCCTTGCCATTTCATGACAGTATATTGCTCATCGTTGCTATTCTTTGCCACTCCTGTTCTGAAACTCATCGAGTTCACACTTGCACGCTGCTGCCAGGTAGTTATAAAATAATCTTCAATTCGAATAACTTAGAAGCAGAAATTCATCAAAATGCGTGAAATAGTCCATGTTCAAGCAGGCCAATGCGGCAACCAAATCGGAGCCAAGGTAAATCGAATTCGTATTCACAATTTCTTACAGTATCTTATATTTTGATATCTTGATTTGTTATTTAGGTTAAACCATTATAGTACCTCTTAACAAATTGGGATTTTTCTACCTCTTACTTGGAACAATTCCGTGAAATCATCTCTCACTACACTAAAAACAAATGAGCTATATTTTGTATAAGTAACTTCGAAACTATTGTTTTATTAACTTTTGTAACAAAACTAAATCAACCGTATTTTTTTAATACAAATTGAGCATGAGAGTAACATCGACAATTGGTGTGATAA